TTTCCCCAAGTCGTTTATCCTTCGCATTTTGTTGTCTTTTCATTAGGACAAAAGGCAACTGTCCTTGGCCCACCCCTTGTGTCCTTCGGTTTGCCTTGCACTTGAATTTTCTTAGTGTGTGAATTGCGTTTTTTTTTGTCCATGCCATGTCCTGGTCATAAATTGTAACTAACGTCTCAGCGTGCGCCAGGGAACGGGGTATGGGGAATGGATATGGGATTCTACGAGATGGTTTAATGCATATTTATACCACCTAAATGGCTAATGAGCAAAACGTGCCACACATGCAGCCAATTTTTGAGGCATGAATATGCGAAAACACGAAGAAAATACATTAATTAAATTTTCGGTAATGCCCCACGCCCAAGACCACAGAACCAAAGAAACAAGCAACTCAAAAAGGCGCAAGGGCGTAACTTTTACTTACATTCCCCGGTACAGGAATCAGTAATCAGCAGTGGGAAAATCGGGTGCAAGCGGTAGGGGCAAAATGGTCGGGGGTCCTATAAAGAAAATCATGCTGGGCCATGTGTGTCTGAATTCTGATTGAGAATTATGCTAAGGAGACCAGAGAACAAAGCGAGAGGGAGCTTTTCTCTCGCTCTCTCTGTGCATTATTTATATAAGAATAAAAACCAAATAATGAAGCCGCATAAAAATGCCAGGGCTCAAACAATACTGCGGATATTACAAACAAAAGATAATAATATAATGAGCAATAAGCCAAGGGCAAATAATAAAGGCCAGTACCAGCAGCCCAGCAACCCAGCATCCAAACATCGACGCATCCAAGCATCGGGTAAAAGCAGGCCAGCCCAAGACCACAACAGAATTCAATTATGTGCGATAAACAGAAGTCATTAAATATTAAAGTGCTAATGGAAAAGGAATCAGCGGCGAATACAAAAGACGAAGCGAGGCCCACGCTCGGAGTACATAAACCCACTCAAAGGAATAAAGGAACAAGTAAGAGCGGTATAATCGATATGCGGACTGTGTAATATCCTCTAGTAATAAGATTTATTTCTTAGGAAAAAAGAAATAACAAATGAGCTCATTGCAGAATAGTTAATGAAAGAAATACAGTGACAATACTATCAGGAATAAACCTATTTTCTGTAGAAGAAATCATCATCAATTATAATCATGATATTCTCCTTATATTTATTTGCATAAAACATTCTGGATTCTTTAACTGGATCACTGGATGCTTACACTTGTATATCTGCTACAATATACCCATAAATTCTGCGAATACCGAGTGTAATAAGAGAATAAGTCAACCCACCAGCGAGCAGAGGTGAAGGTGCAAAGAGGAAAGTGTAAAAGGAAGAGTAAGCAAATTGCTGGCGATGTGGGATGCTACAACAAATTAATGACCAACTGGCTGAGAGTGAATGCAAAAAAGAGACAGGTATTTTGAGCGAAAGCCGAAGCACTCCTTTGGCCAGCCCACACAGCAGGAATTCTCTTACATTTACTCCTGGTGTTCCGGTACCCATGTAACCAAGTAACCACATGGCGCCACAGCCATATGCTTAATATGCTTATTTCAGCTGGAACAGGGGACATTTTCTGGATTCGTTAGGAGCAGCTCCACGAGAAATTTTCAAGCATTTTGATTTGTGATATATTGTGCTGCTGCTGCTGCTGCTGCTGCTACTGCTACTGCTGCTGCTCTGTGGTTAATTTGATTTCCTTTTATTTGTATACTTGCTTTATTATGCATGCATAAGCAGGCACACAAAACCACCCACCCACACCCTCAGCACAAACCCCGTTCCCCAGTTCAGTCCCCAACCAAAAGTTGACTTCGGTTTGGGGCTAATTTTACGCTCTTCTAATTCCGTATTATGGGGTTATTATTTCATGTTTGAGTTTGTGGGTTAAAGGTGATTTCTTGACGGGCTTCAAGGCCAAATAATATATTCCATCTGGCTCTGGTTTCTTCGATGTTTTACTCACTTAATGAAGGTTTCCATTAGCCTTTGTCACTCGCGTGTATGTGTGTGTGTCTGTGTGCATAAAGCACATACCATTAAAAGCGCGGGGAAATGCATTTTCCACTTACCATACCAATCAGCGGTTTTCTGTGGCGCATGCAAATCAGCGATGTGGCAGCCATGGCATGGCATATAAACTGTTTGCAAAATATACAGAATCAACTGTGGGGGGGATGGGGGTGTTGAACCGCGAATCTCTAAACCGAAACCAGATTTTAAATGCATGTAATTGTTATGTGGAAGAGCGTTGGATAAACAAAATTTGCGACACTTTTGTGGCAGCCACTGCGGTTGTCAGCGGCAGGTAATGCACTCACGCCCTCCCTCCCCCTCTTTTTGTGCGTGTGTGTGTGTGTGTTGCACTTTGCGGCAAATAATTTATAAATAAAACGCATCGACATCAACACGAAATCGTGTCATGTTGCTGCTGAAACTTACAACCTACACACACACACGGACACGGGGTCGTCCACAGTTTTGGGGGACGACCAGATTAAATATATCCTTTTTTTTTTGGTACCCTCTACGGCGTACGCCGTGGATGCCTTATTTATGCCATGAATAAATGCAAATTTTTCAACGCCGCAGCAGATTTTGCAACACGTGAGAGAAAGCAGGCCAGAGAAATGGAGAAAGGCACGCCAAAGGACGCCAAAGGACGCCTCAACATCCAACGCGTGTCCTTTGCATAATAATAACTTGTAAATGTCATGTAGGTTATACGTCCCAAGTCCGTGTCCCTGTCCGTGTGCTTGGGAACCTTAAAAGACAAAAAAAAAAAAAACCTGTACATAGAGTCGTGAGGAGTCGTGCGCCGTGTACGAATTAGCATTTAATATGTGGCATAAGGCCAAGAGCATTAAAATTTCTAATGTGGCCGCTCGAGTGAAACGGACAGCTAAGAAAATAAAATCATTGCCTGCTGCAACAAGTGCGGTGCACAGATGGAGGGCGGGGAGCAAATCCAAGAGTAATGTAAACATTGAATCGACTTTCACCATTCCATCCTGTCGTCCATCTGTTTGCTTTTGCCCTCTCCATTTGCAAAGTTCAGGCCCCTCCTAGCACCTTTGGCAAGCCGATTAGACGCCCACTGTGTTAAGTATTCCTGGCACCACACTAATTGACCGGAAACGAAAAAAGTTGATTTATTTGCCTTGGCTCAAGGCCGTGTGCCGGCTCATTAAAGCGATAAAAGCGTAAGCGAGGCAGGGCACAAAGTCAATTGCAATTTTCCGGCTTCCAATCGAATGGTGGGTGGGCCCTGGTCGAAGCCAAGTCGATTTCCCTAAGCCAAGCAATCAGACATGAGCTGATCAAACCAATTTGTAAATTAAGCAGAAATATTGCCAAACATCCAACGGAATTAGGTCTCCTTCCGCTGCTGCTGCTTTGGGTGGCTGCCTTCAAATATTACGCATACGTCACGTAGGTCGCTGGAATATTCTTTAAAGAACAGGAGCTTTCACGTAAATGTTTGGTCGCTTCTGCATGGCTTCTGGCCACGGTACGGAAATTGAATTTTTGGCTCAGTGGCTGGGTTCAGGAAATTATATCTATAACGAATTTAAATCGTTCCGTTTCGCACAACTCTTAAAATCAATTAGTTTTGTCTATTCATGCAATTTGAAGCGTTGGCTGCTTGGCTACTTGGCTGCTGGCCTGGCCAGCAAATGCCTGACAATCGTCGTAGTTGGTTTCATTTTATTTCGCATTTCCCATTTGGTTTCGAATTAAATTCAGCATCAAAGAAACTTTAATTATTTATGAGCCCGAAGGAGTCTTGGCCACTCAATGGCATAAAATGGCAAATTTGTTGCCGGCACACTCCTCAGATTCATTGGTGAAGAGTGGGTGGGGTGGAGGGGGTCCATTTTTGCATTGGCAAGCGTTTTTTGCCCACAGAGCCCAAAGACAGCGGGCCACTTGTGTGCGATACTTTTGCAACAAAGACAGGCACACAGCCCCACTGGCAGACAAGGACAGAGTGTGCACGAAAGCAAGAGAGAGAGAGAGAGAGAGAGATGGAGATGACGATGGAGAAACTTACATATACGAAGAGCCATTTGAAAACTATTACGCCCATGAGATTCATTCAAGTAGTGCGGCATTTATAACTCAAATGTTGCCCAAGTTACAAAAAGCCTAAAAACTCGAGCAGGACCAGAACTTAAGGAACAGGAACTGGAGCAGGAGCATGAATGGGATTCGCTGCTGGCAGGAGAACCTGAGCTGCGATTTGCAGAGCAGCTCAAGGCAGTAAGCAAGTGATGAGCAAACGTTGAGAGATGCACTTTATGGAATTTACTTGCCACACAAACAAAGTGTCTATATTAAATGTTATCCGAATAGGAGCCCTAGAAATATGACCTTTGACCACTGATTTCAATATATTTTCCTATTGATCTATAGATAACTATTCTATCATCTTTCAATGCCTCAAAATCCATCTGTCTTGCCTTATCGAGTTGTTGGATACATTAAACTGTTGACTCAGAAATCTACCACAGAAATATTGCTCATCTCTGGTGGAGACTGTAACGAAGTGTGGCAGGAAGATGAAGGAGCTGTGGAAGCGGAAGAAACGGAAGAAGCAGCGCTAAAAATGGCAACACAGAATGGCATTCTCTGTGCTTGCTTTTTATTAGAATGTGTCCATGGAGACGTGGGCGCCAGCCATTGTCTGAGTCTGAGCTGCTCTCGGCAGCCTTCTCCATGAATCTCTATCGTCCTCTAGGCGAGTCGAATGCGAGTATACTCGTATCACATAAACATATGTGTGTGTGTGTGTGTGTGTGTAGTTTTTGCTATACATTTCTTAGCACGTAGTTATCTGTGGCAACAACAGTGCCACTTGAAACAACAATAAAAAGTTGGTTGAAAACAGAAAAAGATAGCCATACGCGTAGACAACTCCCAGATCTGTAATATAAAAACTCGCAAACATCAAAAAGTAGGTAAATCTGAGCCATGCGCCAAGACAATTCCTCCATTTAGTTCAGCCATCAAAGGTAATTCATTTTATTTTGGGATAATAATTCGCTGAAATATCTTTTCATATTACTTTTCAGCTAAGGAATTATTCAACTGCTTGTCGAATTCTTATCCAGCGGCTCACTCTGCTTTACAGAATAAACGCTTCCAAAAGCTTGGTTTCGTCTTGATCTTTTCGTTTTCTTTGCCTTCGGTTGTAGGGCGGTCCAGCCAACTTATGGCAAGCTTCTCGAGCAGCGATTCGCATTTCGATGGTATCGTCAATAGGGTATCCTTTTTTTTTCCTTTCACATTTTCCGGCGTGAGGCAATGCAGAAAGTTGTTCACATCCACATCGAGAGTTGTCAACAGTCGACTCGACTTCGATGCTAGATGATGATTGGGTTGGGTTGGGTTCGCCAATTTTAGAATAAAATTAGAAATGAAATTCAGTTGAAATTATCTCACTAGCATTCACATTCAGGCTTCCACAAAGCACCAAAAACAGGCAAAAATATATGGCAAAAGTCATCTTAAGGTGGCAAACACAGGATCGCGATTGATGATTAAGCCTTTATTGACGAAAATATTTAGATTGGATATTTTCATTTGGATGCGGAAAATGTGAAACGAAATGAAACGAATCTACAAATTGGTTTCAGTTATATAAAAGAAATGTAATGTAACTGTTTTATGGATGTGAAATTATAATGATTGAAATTATTAACTGCTTCAGAGTCAGTATGCTGCTGTCTACTCTAGTATATTGAGAAATCGAACGATATGTATTGGCAGAACGAACAATACCTAGTTTTTTTAAACGGACATAAAGTATAAGTTATATACGTATTGTTCCTTGACTCGTGTCAAGATCAGATTTAATTCCATTCCATTAAATAATGCGTTTTATTAGCCCTCAACTGGTTTTGAGTGGATCTCATTTGATTAATTGGAAACGTGTCAGTATTCTCTAACTATCCATATTGAGGTGGGCCTTCAGGTTGGCCTGGGTATGCCGGTGGGTATCCTCCAGGTGAACCTGGAGGTGGGCCTTGAGGTGAACCTGGAGGTGGGCCTTGAGGTGGGCCTTGAGGTGGTCCTCCTGGGCCTGCGTATGCTGGTGGGTATCCTCCAGGTGGGCCTTCAGGTGGGCCTGGTTGTGGGCCTTGTTGTGGGCCTGGTTGTGGGCCTGGTTGCGGAGCTGGTGGTTGGCCCAGTCCTTCAATTCTAATGTTATTGACATTTTTATTTATGGTTCTTTTTTGTGGCCTGGCGCTCACCAAGACCAAGAGCAATAAAGAGATCCCGAAACAGAGCTTCATATTGGCCAGGTGGGGAATCAATGGGGACCTATGGCCGTGTAATCCTCCATTTATGTGGTAAGAAGTGGTAGGCGAATCGGATCATAATGTAATCGTACAATTACATAAGCCATACAGATTTGCACATCGTATTTATTTGTGAAATTTCACATTTCAATGCCCAGAAAGGGCGAAGTTTTAGGGTATAGTCTTACATGGCTCAGATCTGAGCTCAAAGAAACATTTGATTTAAACAGAAATCGAGTCTCATATTTATTTGCCAGTTTCTTTCAGTTTTTCCCTACGAAAGATTTTCCGTCGTTGGGTTCTAGGCGTACACTTACATAGTTTTTGGGAGTATATTCTCTCTATTGAACATTTTTCTGTTTTCTGAAAGAGCAAAAATAAAAACAACTTCCCACAACTTTTACAGTTTATTGCCATTCGAAAAAAAATCTCTTTAACGTCCGGGGGCGGGCAGTTGTAGATGGATATTGTTATGATTAATATTTGAAACTTCCCCTGCCAGTGTCATTGAAATAAGTGCCGCCAAAATAGTTAAGAGCTTCATATTGATCCTTAAATGTGGCAACAATGAGTAAAATTTTGTATTTATACAGTAAGTGTCAAGGCCCAATCGAATCAATTTGTAATTAAATTAAATTTGATTAGATTTCGTCGGGTATTATACGGTAATTAAATTCTACCTAATAGGTGAATAAATTTCTGACTATTTTCGTCATACCAGCAATAAGTAAAGTGACATACATATATAGCTATATATTGTATGTATGTACAGATCTTTGATGGGTGAAGATCATAGCCGGGTCGTACAGGAGTGCCAAGTAACGTTAAGTTTCTTCAATATAATATTTATTTATTTATCAATATCTTTCCCATATCATCAATAAAAATAAAGCACAAAATTGCATTGAACATGTGCTTTCTATACTTTATAGAACTTGAAGTCTAATTTCCGCTTCATACCTGGATAACCTCCTTGATTGCTCCAAAATTCCATTTTAAATTCCGGCATACTCGACAAATTAATTTCCCGCTCTTTGTTGCCAAAGCGAAATGTAGTCAAATGAACTAATTAATTTTTCTAAATAAAGCCAGGCCAAATTGCCAGGAGCCATTTTAGCCATCAGTCGCAGTGGGCAGCAGCCCTTGCGGCACTTTAAAATTCTGTGTTAATATTTTGGAATCATTAAATAGCAGCAGACATTGCTTTATTTATATGAAAACAATTTTCCAAAATTTATTTATACCTGCTACTGTTTATATTTATATTCAAAACATTTTAGAGGTCAGAGACCTACAGCGTCCCTGGTACTGCCACTAGATTGGCTACCCGACATTTTGGTTTGGAGAGCAGGAGCTTGGAGGGAACTAATGCAAAAATTTATTGTGACTTTTGGCACTGCCTGCAACAGCTGCTCCCCATTATGTGTGGCAGCCAGGAACTCCCTCCAGCGTCAGCCCTCCCAAAAAAAAAGTACAGAATAAAACCGAAAAAACCCACATGTGTCTCCTGCTCGGTTTTATCTGCTGCTCTGCACGCGGCGCATTTGCATATTTCGTGCACTGAAGCAGCGGCAGGAGGAGCAGGAACCCAAGCAGGAGCTCAGTTTTTATTTTTATTTCATTTTTTTATTAATGCGAAAAATGTAATTTCAAGCATTTGCAACTGCAGCGTACCCTTAAGGGCACAAGACAGTCAGCCGCAAAAAAAAATTGGCATGTGGAAAATTGCAAAAATTCCATGCAGCACAAAAAAAAAAACAAAAAATAAACCAAAGAAAAGCAAAATCATATTCAACCCTTTGACGAGGGAATGCAAGCTTGGCGTTAAATTTTAAGTCTTTAAATAAATTGGCCCTTTTTTGGAACTCGATTTTTTTAGTTTAGAATATTTTTGGCAGCTTTATATAATATTTTTAGGAGAAATTGTAGTTATAGTGACCGGTACACAAAGATTAGAAGGGTATATTAAATTCTTATAGATGTAGGAAGCGTTTCTATTCCCCTAAGCCACTTACCATATTTATACATAAATATATTCTTGATCCTAGTCAATTTAATTTTAGAACTCGACATTTTGCTCATTTCTGACTTCGGACTGTCTTAGTGTGGCTTCAAGCCACAATAAAAGGCAATTTCCTGATTATACTAAAGGCAAACTGCAAAGAGTTTAGGTAAGCGAAACAGTTACTACAATTACGAAAGCAATCAAAGCATTTGATGAGATTTTTACCGTCTCGGGAACGTTTCGGTCTGCCTACTTCGCTGCTAAGTTATGGTTATGTCAGGTCCGTGTCCATTGGGTCAGATGAAATTTTGCTTCGTTACTTTCATTTGCATTTGTCACGCTCGTTTGACTTTCGAAATTCCCGCTGGGTGTCTTGTAGTTCGATGTCGAATGGCAGTCACGTGACTTCAATTTGTCCCATGGGCATAAACGAAAACTAAAGCCAAGTAAGGTTTAAATAATGCACATGGAACTAGAAACTTTTCCTAAGCCATTGTGTTGCATATAAGGTTGTATACGTAGCAGTATGTAGTATACATACATAGGTATTTATTTTTTAACTAATGCATGAGCGACAACATTGCTAGACTCCAACTTTAGACTGTCTGCCTGTCAGCTCTTAAATACAAAAATTTATAAAATTCCTGCAACAGGAATTACATTTTATGCCCATTCTCTAGGAACATTCTCTGGGCCTCCTGGGCCTGGTTCTTGCCCTGAGATTACATAAGCCATACAGATTTTCATATTTATTTGTGAAATTTCACATTTCAATGCCTAGAAAGGGCGAAGTTTTAGGGTATAGTCTTACATGGCTCAGATCTGAGCTCAAAGAAATATTTTATTTAAACAGAAATCGAGTCTCATATTTATTTCCCAGTTTCTTTCAGTTTTTCCCTACGAAAGATTTTCCGTCGCTCGGTTCTAGGCGTACATTTACATAGTTTTTGGGAGTATATTCTCTCTCTTCTCTTTATTCTCTATTCTCTCTACCATTGAATCCCACTCTGATGAACATTTTTCTGGTTTCTGAAAAAGCAAAAATAAAAACAACTTCCCACAACCTTTACAGTTTATTGCCATTCGAAAAAAAATCTCTTTAACGTCCGGGGGCGGGCAGTTGTAGATGGATATTGTTATAATTAAAATTTGTAACATTCCCTGCCAGAGTCAAGTCAAGTTAAGAGCTTCATATTGATACTTCAGAGTGGCAGCAATGCGTTAAATCTTTTATTTATACCATAAGTGTCAAGGCCCAAACGAGTACAAGTGAAACGAATCAATTTGTAATTAAATTAAATTCGGCAACGCATGGAGCTACAAACTTTTCCTGTGCCATTGTATTGCATATAAGATTTTATTTTGTAGCTAATGCATAAGCGACAACATTGCTAGACTCGATCTTAGGGCTGTCTGCCTGCCTGTCAGCTCATAAATAAATAAATATAAAAACTCCTGCAACAGTTGCTAGCTGTTGGTTTTACTTGGCAGCGAGCAGCGCATAAATACCGAGAAGAGCTCTCCAAGTTGAAATCCGTTGGCTTTATCTAAGTACTGGTAATAGGATGGAACGAATGTCCAAGGAGCGGTCTCTCTGTGTCACAATGCATCGGCCTGCAAGCAAGCCGCAGTTGAAAGAAGATGACATAAAGTGGTACATTTTCCTGGGGAAATTGCAAATGTTCTTGAAATATAATGCAACAGACTATCATCAAATCTTAAGTAATACGGTAAGCATCTAGTAAAACTGCTCGTTGGGTAATAGACGGATAGACGGAAGGGAATATACGAGTAAGCAGGGATTGTCAGGGTGCCTAAAGAAGAGAAAATATAAAGACTTAATTCTAAATTGAAGAGTATATGTAGTTTAAAGTGGGGCACATCTATATGAACTCTTGCTATTTGGTATAGGGAAAAATATATATATATTTGACATGTAAAGAATTCATTGCCTTTTTCTTTATTTTAGCTAAAAGTAAGCACTTTTGAGGCACTCAATGTATGCGGCTAGGGATCGCATATTTCTGCATAAATTCCATAGCTATAGAAATATGTTTTAGACTTTTCATCCAGCTTCGTTTTCAGTTCATCGCACAAAAATTTTGATTCCAGCCTCCAACTATTAGTATTCTAAACACTGAATCTAAAATTTAAATGAAACTCCAAACAGGTTGATTAAATTCCCGCAATGATTGCATGCCCAAATGAATGCCACATTGAAATTGTACGGCTGAGTGCTGTGCTGC